TGTTAGTAGTGGTAAATTTACACGTGCTAAATAGGGTTTTCAAAGGCATTGCATATTATCCTCACCAAATAAACTGAATAAACTGAAAACGGCCAAAATTTACGGAGGAGTCAGTTCCCAAAAAAGTCCGTTTTATATCTTAACCCTTTAAGGGTGACAATATTCCAAACAGAATTAAGCGACGGCTACGTTGGACCATAGGGAGAACTAGTGTTCCTCACTCCAACTAATAGCCTTACAGTTAACCGGACAAAGGAGGCCTTGGTACCCCAGCCCAACCTGTGTCTATGACTTCACGTGCACTTGTGGATGCAAGTACATTGGGCGTAAGCATAAGCACTTGGCAACCAAGGGGCGCTGAAAATTTACCTAATTGGCTTTTTAAACAAGAAAACAAAGTGCCACGGTCCTCCATTACAAGACACCTGATAGATGGTAGTCACTTTTTTGACCTCAAAACATCATTCCGAGTTATTGTTCTAGCACGAACGAATCTGACTTTGCGCTGAATGGAAGCAGTCTATATACGGCGGGAGGAACCCGAGCTATGTAAGCGGTTAGATCATGTGGTTAATTTCCAACTTTCCTGGTAACTGCATGTCTACATTTGATAAACCTTTGATTTTTGTTAATTTTCGCCCCTACGGTTCCTTCCCAAGTTTAAAGGCGACAATATTATCAACTATTCGCCGCGTTGAAGAATGCTATTGCTGCTACTGATTTTGTAAAAAATTAAGACGGCTCTGTTCTCCATTTTTATCGGCTTCATACAGAAGCAGGAAGCAGTTTAAAAGCTGTTCCGAACTTTATTTGTACAAATAAATCCAGCTGTGTTCGCTTGCTTTAGAAACATTTTACTTTTACATCCCTTTCCGGCGATTTGATCGGATTATTTGATATTTGTCTTCAGTGAGGAGTTGAGTAAATCCAAAATGGCAAACAATGCTGACCTCATTGGAAGTCTTATGATCAATTGTCTAGGGCCACACACAACAAAATAACCCCAGTTTCACCTTTGGTAAGGCAAGGCTAATAGGCCGAACCAATGACAAAATAGCTAGACTGCTGCTAGAAAATTGGTCCTCGGCTGACACACTTAACAGAGCCATAGACCTGCATCCCGCCTACCAGGCGATACGCACACAGCTAAAATCAATTCGAGCAAGACCAACAGGACGGCCACCAAACCCACGCGTGGAGGACAACTTATGTCAGAGGGAACTAGGAGAGGATCTGGCGAGGAACCGCGTGACCAACGTGTAACACCAGCTCACCACCGCGCTCACGAGGGTGACAGCAATTCACACGGACCCAAAAAACCGATTAGTACGTTGGATGGCGAGGGGCAGGTCAGCAAGCACGCTGACTTGCCAAAAATTACGACGCTCCCAGAGGGGGCAATTGTCACACCGGTCCATCGGCGGTCAAGCTCGAAGACATAAACACTAATCAGCAACGAAGAGACAAGTTGAAGCACGTGCGTCAAGCATGGATATAATACCAGGCAGGCACCAAGGCTGAAGCAGTCACGGCCGGCGGGAAGAACCACCACTTTACTCTGATGATGTAAGCGAGAGTGCTTTTGAAACGTCAATCTAAAAACACTTTGTTCTATGTCCTCTTTCCTTCTTCTCAATCTTCTTTTGGGAGGGGGGGTGGTGGAGAAAACAATATATATGCATATGCAATGGTAGACAGACGCTCACTGACCGAGTACGGAACTCACTCGTTTAGCTTTTGCCTTGGAGCTGGTTTTTGAGCCCGCAAGCAGCCACTTAAAGGCTAGCGTATATTATAGGCAGCAATACAGTGGTTAGTGTTGCATTTCTAAGTAACAGGTTCACAGGTCCAAATCTTGGGAGTTGCCACGTCCAGGATGAGATAAAGCTGGCTGCTTACGGCTAATAAGACAGAAAAACCCATTCCAGTCTCCTTTGTCATTATCAGTAATGTGTCTTTGCCTATTTATATTATATGTTATAGACAGAAATACCTTTCCAACAAAAACAAGGTGAATGGAATGGTTATTACTGATTTATTAGTAACCACCAACTAACCATACCCAGCCCAGGTGTTGTGGCACATAGGCCCAAACCTGCTGCCTGTTCACCTAGATACCAGAAATTTTTATAGGGAGCACGGTAATTTGCTCAGCTGTTTTCCGAGTTCAGAGTTTAGACGTCGCAAAAAGGGAGCGCATGTAAATCAATAAATCAATCTGCTAGTCACTATTAGCCTTACTGGATCAGTTCACCGACAGCTTTGTAAAGCTCTCGGTGGGCCTGAGTGACTTCGGGCAGGGTCAACCACAGCACACGATCCACAGGATTGGATTTGTCCAAAAGTTCTTTCATTCGATCTAGCTCAAGCTCCAACTCCTGACCCTTCAGAAGGGTTGGCGAAAGTTCATTCCACACGGTCTCTTGAAGTGCCCCCTGAAAGAAAAGCATGGTAGAGAGAACCACCAACAAGATTGGTTTGGCAATTTATGGATCACGAGAAAAGTTTGTTTCATTTGATGAAGGTTTGAGGTAGTTAAAACGTATTTACAGAACGAACAGACTTCAGTCTTCTAGTAAGCTGTTTTTCCTTACTTTAATATGTTAGCTGAGAATAAAAAGAAGAATTTTAATCCCATGCTAACGAGCGCATAGAAGTTTAACATAATATCTAAATAAAAGCGGCTTTTGAAAGCGCAGAATCGAATAGTACAAAAAGCATTAGCCTCTCATCCTCTAGAAAATAAACTACCGGCTACGGTCAATTGACTCACGTTAAAATTTTCAGGACCGATTTGAAGACTGGTTCAATTATACGGGTCTCTGAATTTTCGATTTTACTGTGGAATGGTACCTGACGTCCTTCAGGCAGCACTCATTCCATCGCAGTTTTCTCTGGAGCCCAGGACTGGAAACTGGCGATGACTGGTATTGGATCATTGGTTCTTTACTTTGTCTTTTGAAGCAAGCGCTAATGTTTCCTTTGCAGTGTGCTCTTATGAGTGGGTGACTTAAAATTTCGAACAGCTGAGGTGATGCGTGTTTTGACCAATCAGAAAATAATTGCAAAGTACCAGAGGTGCTCTCATTATCCTCATTCCAAGATCCCTGCAAAAAGTCTTTGAACAGCCGGTAGTCTCCGCTATAGTATCCTCTTTTTCCCACCATCACCACAATAACGCTACGCCAAAAAGGACGACCCGTAGATTTTATGGGTGATGTCACTCGATGGCAATCATTCTAGTAGCCTCTTCTTCTTCCATAACCCACTAACTGTGCACAACGGAAGTATTTGTTAACTGCAACCTTAACAGGCCGCAAGGTTGGGAGGCCGAGGTTGGGGAAAACGCACTAACGCACACGTGTGCATCCGCTCGGTCCGCAAACCACGAACACACGACTGGGTACTGTCAACACCTGCCTCCTCGCTTTCGTGTAGGGGCAAGTCTTATAGAACGCATGGTTGCCCTCTGGGCTGTGGGGATCTCTACCCTCACAGGCAGACGATAAACATCGGGGGGGAGTCGAGGGAGTCAGGCCATGGCTGCACCTCTCCCCTTCCCCCCCCACCCCCGTCATCTTCCTTTGCAGGGCCGAGGAGCCAGTGCACCCTCCTTCCACCCTTATCTTTACATCAAGTCTTAAAACGGGCCTCGGAGACTGCGGCGGCGACGTAATGTCCCAGGTGTTGACTTAGCTCGCTTCGATGACCAGCTGTGGCTTGGTGTCCTGCGGCAGGTGTCGTCTGACTAACATGCGGTCAGGGCTTTGGTGTTTAGGTTAGCGGGACGGCCTGTCAGTGACTTAGGGTTTTGGGTGCTCTGAAAAGATGAGTGAACATACAGATTATCTGCAACAGCACACTCACGGTAGATGAAGAAGAAGAAGAAGAAGAAGAATGCTATATTGAGGATTTTACAAACCTG